ATGTTCTGTCGCCGCCACTTTAATTAATATTTATAGGTTATGCTCATTACADGGAAAGGACAGATCTGCCCTTAGTCTTTACATAACAAATAGAGCAAAAAATAAGACTGAAATAAATAACAACTAAATGACCAATTGCTAACCCTAGGCAGACTAGAACATCTTCTACCCTATGGACACAGTGGGACCGTAGCTGTGGGGCCCACATCAGTGTTCTCTACACTAATCTCATGTCCCTTTGTGTTCTTTAATTGGTCTTGGTTCTCTTCTCTCTTTGACTGCAGGTGGACTCCCCCCCCCAAACGTGGTGAACCTCTTTGATCTTAGCTTTTTGCAGGCAACAAAAGGTTTGTGGAAGGATTATGTGGAGAGCCACTAGAGCTGCTGTATTGTGGTCAATCTGGGAGGAAAGAAACAATAGGATCTTCAAAGGTAGTTGTAGATCCAAGGAAGAGGTTGTGGAATGAGTAACTACTAAGGTTATCCATTGGTTGAAATCCTGTGATCTTCTTAAGGATTTCTCAGCTGAAGACATTTATAGAAGTTGGGGCACTGTGGCAWCTACTACTACTTCCAAAGCTATGATACAGAAAGTTTGGTCTCCATCGGCGCAACAAAGGGTAAAACTGAACTTTGATGAAAGCTCTATAGGTAATCTGGGCCCATCTGGTATAGGTGTTTTCAGAGATAATGAAGGCAAGACAATGGCTCTGTATTCAAGTCCAGTAGGAGTTGGAGATTCCTTAAGAGCGGAAATCTTAGCACTACATCAAGGTGTAAAACTGGCCAAACAATTGGAGCTACAGCAGATTGACAGCTGATAAGGGTGGATGCAATCAGGGCAGCTGGGAATTTGGCAGTATAGACAGATGATAAGGGAAATGCTTAGCATAACAAGGGAGGTGGGTGTTTGTTTCAAGTGGATAAGGAGATCAGCGAATGGTTTTGCTGACGCCCTAGAAAAACAAGGGACTGTGAGGGAGATACTTTATTGGGCAGTGCTGTAATGTTTGATGTTTATTGGAACAACCTTTTCTAATAAGGGTTGACTTCTATGTTTCAGTTTAATTTATCTCTAATGAAAGTTATCATTTCTGATAAAAAAAAAGATAGTGTGACATTACGACAAAAAAAAATCCTACTTTTCCCACTGTATGGAGATTATTTTCACCGTCTTGCTAACAAATATTTGTTCTGTTCTCAAAAACTTTAACCACTTGGAAGAGGTCAAGACTAATTAATATAGTTAACCGCATTGGTACTGTTGTCGATAATAAATATGCATCCTTCATTTGAAGCAGCAACGTAGAATACTAGTAGAACGGAATAAGTCACTCTTTAATTCTTACAAGATGTAAAGATTTTTTTGCGTTATCACATAGTACACATTAGCAAGGACTCAGGTGGGGACAGAGGGTGCATATGAGACCAATTGGCCATACCATGGAGAGCCTGCAGTTCCATGGATTTGATCTTGGACCTCCTATTTTGGAGTGACACTGAGTGATCATCACAATTACTGGGTTGTTGGCCTTAAAAGATGAAAGTTAATGTTATCGACATACAATTTCCTTGAAAAAGGAATGAAAATATTGCTAGATTATGAATCTTAGCTTATGGTTATATAATATGAGCCTTCAAAAATAAAATAAAAAATAAAAATACTAAATAGCGTAAAAGTAACAGAACCCTAAATATTGTTCTAGGGTAAAATATAGAATCAAATATCATATCCATCTGATGATGTACCTATCCACATACATGTTTATTATGTATGGATATAGATATAAATGCACGCTTTTAATGAAGAAGGTAAAGTATTAATTTGCATTCAATTGAAATAACAAATCATAGAGACATCAGCACCCATGTACAGCAGGGGACTGTACAATGGGAATATGCAGAAAAGTTAAAATAGCATGCCTTGTATCTTCCTAGTCACCATATCTTCCAAATCTAGATATGGATATACATGCAACAAACAACTTACCTAGATCTAAAACCTTTAGACCCACATATGGAATAAGGGGCTTTGGTATTATGATAGTTGTATGTCCAGCATATGCCATCAACAGAGGAAGTGCTGCAAATGAAGGCAATAGCAATTTTCTGTTCTACAAAATAAAATAAAAGA